GCACAGACCTGTCCCCTCGGTGCGGGTGTGCTGGGACTAGGTCTGTCTAATCAGCAGCGCCACCTGTCAGCCCCTCCACGTGCCCCCAGCACTGCCCAGCAAGCAGATGTGTTTGCTTAACTCCCTGTTCTACTCTCCACGACAACCGCTTCACACCTCCAGACTCTCAAACCTTGTTTCCACACTCCCACCTCTCCTCTCTCTTTTCCTCCTCTCAACAAATGGACCTTCCTTTCTACTTTACAAAAAAAGAAAAAAATATGTATGTATATATAAATATAACATATATAAAAATCGAAAGAAAAAGATAAAGAAAGAAGAAAATAATCAGGTGGGATTTCCCTAATCCTCTGATACCACAGTTAAGCACCCACATTTGCACCCCCCTGCACCCTCTCCCCACCCTGGCAGAAGCAGCGGCCGGCGGTTCTTGGGCCCCCGTTTCCTGCCCTCTCTGTGTCTTATTCTGTCACTTGTCCCTCCCTCGCATATATTCAGCCTCTGCTCACCTGCGTCCTTCCCACTGGCTTTAAACGTGTTCAAACAAAACACCTCACTCAAGCTTCCTATCATGTTTCTGTCCCCTACTCCCCAAACTTTTCTGAGCCATGTGCACTTGGTGTCATCTGGCTTCCCGCTCCCTGTCGCAGCCCAGCCCAGGCCACCTTCCCACCCCGTGCCCTCCAGTAGAGCCTGGACCTGCACATCGTGGGCTCCAGCGATGCTTTGCAGCCTCCCTTCACCTGGCCTTCCCTGCAGCCAGCACGGCCACCACCCTTCCCTCGTGACCCACTCTTTCTTCTGCTTTCGTGACACAGCATCAGCCTTGCTTTTGTCCCCGCTTCTCTGCCCCCCGTTAGACTGGACACTCCACGAGAGCAGGGACTGGGCATGTTCTGCCCTCCGGAGTGTCTCCAGCCTCACTTGGTGCCTGCACGTGGTAAATCCTCAATAAATAGTCAGTGAATATTTAGTGAATAAAGGAGGCACTGTAAGTATTTTGATTTAAAAATTCTCTATGTAAATATTGTGGTGTGGTGGGTGTGCTGCCTCGTACACCCTCAGAAGTTGGAGGGCCGGGGAGTGGGTCCCAAGCCTCTATGACTTTAAGTGACTTACCCACTGGGCTTTGGTTTCCTCATCTGTCACATGCGGATAACAAAGTTAGCCTCACCTACCCTGAGTTGTGGGACTCAGGTACACTACGTACGTATGTGTTAGTAACAGTCATAGCGACAGCGGCTGCCGCTGATTAAGCTCCTCGTGGGTCAAGTGCTGTGCTTAGAACTTTGCATACATCATCGTGTTCGGTCCTACAACAGCTTGTGACACTTGCTTTATGTCCTGGCTTATGACCAATCCATGTAAGACAATCTATAACCTGCCTTTGTTGTGAGGAATATCTTATACAGGTTATTAAGTCGGCGTTGTTAATTGTATTGTTTAAAATCATTTATACCTCTACCAACAATTTTTATAAATTTGTTTTATTACTAAGATTGGTTATGTTCAAATCCTCTCCTTTTGTTTCTGTCAATTTCTACTTAATTTGTGTTGAGACAATGTTATTAATTTAGAGTTGTTACCTCTTTCAAGTGGATTGACCCTTTTATCATCATGAAATATTTCTCTTTGTCTTTAAATAATGCTTCTTGACTCAAATCTACTTTGCCTGATATTATTGTAGCTGCATTACTCTCTTTTGGGTAGTGTTTGATGATGTATTGTTTTCTGTCCCTCTACTTTCTGCCTGTCTATGATTAAGCTATGTCTCATCTAAATAGCATATAGGGGGCCCAGCCCGTGGCGCACTCGGGAGAGTGCGGCGCTGGGAGCGCAGCGACGCTTGCGCTGCGGGTTCGGATCCTATATAGGAATGGCCGGTGCGCTCACTGGCTGAGCACAGTGTGGGCGACACCACACCAAGGGTTGCCATCACCTTACCGGTCATGAAAAAGACAAAAAATAAATAAATAAATAAATAGCATATAGGCAGATATTTGTAAGTCATCAATCTTTGCCTTTTTTTCTGTTGTATATAGTCTGTTCCATTTAAAATATTTCACATATATGTGTGTATATGTATATAAACATGTTTATAAATATTTAAATATACTATACTATCTACTTGTTTTCTATTTTGTCTACTATCTATTTGTGGTCTGTTTTTTCCTCCTGCTCTTTGTTACTGTCTTTGCATGACTCTTCAGATTAATTAAGAGTTTTCTGGCTTCTATCATTTCTATTGGGAAGTAAGCTGCTTATGTCTTACTGCTTCCTCTACCAAAGGTAATATATCTTTTTTTCTCCACCTTTAAGATTTTCTCTTTGTTTTTGGTTTTCAGCAGTTTTATTATGATATGCCTATGTGTGGTTTTATTTATTTTTTAAAATATTTTTCCTCTTGAATCTGTGGTTTATTGTCTCTTGTCAGTCTTGAAAAATTCTTAGCCATTATTCTTTAAATATAGCTTCTGCACCATTTTTTCTCTTTTTGAGCTTCCAAACATATATTATATATTTTTATTATGTCCTGTATATCTCTTCTGCTCTTTATTTTCCATTTATTTTTTCCTGTGCTGCCCTCTAGATATTTTCTATTGACCCATCTTTCAGTTTACCAGTCCTCCTTTAGCTGTGTCTGACCTTATGGTAAATTAATGTATAGAGTTCTTAATTTCAGTGACCTTACTTTTTAGCCCTTAATTTTTATTTGATTCTTTTTGATAGGTTTTAGTTCTCTAGAGAAATTCTTCATCTTGCCATATTTTCTTGGCCACGTTAAACACGGTTATTTTAAAGCTCGTATCTTATAATGGCAATATCTGGATCATCTGCAGGCCTGTTCTTATGGTGGTGTTTTTCCTTTGCTTTTGGTCACTTATTCCTGGATCCTAGACTTAGAATAATCAACAACCCTGGTTTACCCAGGACTCTCCTGTTTTTAGTATTTCAAGTCCGGTATCCCATGAAATTTTACCTTTTAGTCCTGGTATGCATGACAATTTTTTATGCTGGACATTGTGTATGAGAAACTGGGGATCATTTGAGCCTCAAAAAGATGTTATCTTCCTTCAGAGAGAATTCACTTTTGCTTTCAGCAGACAACTAGAGTGGAGGCAAATACTCTTTTTCTAGTCTGGAATCGAGCTCATTCAAAGCTGGGTTTCAGTTTGTGGGGACCGGTCCATTTACAGTTGACTCCTATTCCTGGTGAGGAAGCCTTTGAAGCCTTTGAGGTGTCCCAACTGAAAGGCTAGATTTTTGCCAAGCCCCTCCTCTGTCGTAGTCCTGAAGTCCAGTTTTTTCTCTCTAGTATGATGAAACTTCTGAAAGCCTTCTTAAGCCTGTCGGCCTCTCAGCCCCAGCTTCCAATTCAGCAAGACCTTGAAGGGAAAAACAGCATCTAGCGTTGCCCTCGCTTCAGTGAGGCTCTCGCTTCCCTTTTCTCTGGGAACTTAGCTCCCAGGCTCTGCATGTGTTCGTAGACTTGGTTGCTAATTTTAGACTGCTGAGAACTTTGCTCAGCTTCTGAATGTCTTCGCTGTTTCATTTAGATGCACTTTGCGGTCTTGCAGCCCTGTGCTGCTTGCACATGGACAAATGCCTGGAAGGGAAAAGCAGCTCAGAACGTCAGGCTTGCCTCAGTGTGCTCTCTTCTCTTTAGCTTCTTAGACCCTCATGTCCTGGCTGTCATGGTAGCTCCACAGTGTCTTCAAAGAGTTTGGTTGTTTAATTCAGCTTTCTAATTGATCTTGGCAGAAAAGTTGGTCTAATACAATTCGGTCTGACATAGCCTGAAGGAGAGTCCCATGACAAATGCCATTGTAATTATCAGAATTTCCCAGCGCCTCCGTTCATGTACCTGGTTCTACTCCCAAGCCCCTCTGCCCAGGCTCCCCTACACATCCTCTTCTGTCTTCACTTTTTATACCTTCCTCGCTCCTGCAGTCTTACCATTCCATGCCTTTGTGAGTGTGTAACATGTTAAAATTATTTTCCATTCTAACAGCTGTGTGGTGTTGGCAGATGACATATTTTTAGAGCCAGTGACTGGGTGTGGTGAAGCTGCTTGTGTTCCTGGCGTTAGTTTGTTCAGGTTCCAGTCCCACTGGTGAGCCGTTGGTCTTGTTTTGTTTTTGTCTTTCTCTGACTCTCTGCCCCCAGGATTTGTTCTTAGTTTATTTCAAGATGTTTTATAGTGTGGGGGAACTAGTTGGGAATTAGAAGTGGAAGTCGGTTAGACTTCTCTATTCCTATAAAGTCAGTGCTGAGATTGGTTGCATGAAAATGGTGGCAAATATTTAAGCAAATTTAATAGTGATATGATGGTTTATTTTGTCTTTTAGGCACAGGCATTCTGAGCTACTTATCTATATCATCTAAGTTTAGAGTGCCCTAATTTATGACAGTAGTTCTGTTTTTTATTTTAGGTACCCATAAAAATGTAAACACAATTTATTATTGCTTTGACTGCACACTTTACATATCTTACTCCATTTATTCCTCATGATAACCCTGTGACACCAGCATTGTTTTTCTGGACAGACTTGGACACAGCTAACAAGCAGCAGAACCAGCATCTGAGTCTGGGTCTATCTGATTCCCAGTCACAGCCTTTTAGTCCCACACTGTGCTGATTTCCACATGGCTGTCCTGCCATGGATTTATCTGCCCTACTGAGAGTTATCTTTGTGGAATTGCACAGGAGAGAGTCCACTTCATCCCAAGTGATTTGTGTTAAGGAATGAGATTGTGTAACATTTATTGCTAGGCAAAGACCATATCTGAGCAAAACAGGACCTTCTGGGGATTACCTGTATTCTTAGAAAGAATATGTGGCAACTTGCTTTGACAAAGTACAAGCTGGTGCATTATTAACCTAATGTGAGCCAGGATGCATGCTCTGTGTGAATTTTGATTTATTTGGTACCTTTAAATCACAACTGCAAAAAAAAAAAAGTGAAATAATTTATTATATCTGTCATTCTTGATTTCAGGGAAGTTTAATTAGCATTAACAGCACTTGTACAGAGATGGGCAATTTTGACAATGCTAATGTCACTGGAGAAATAGAATTTGCCATTCGTTATTGCTTCAGAATCCATTCTTTAGAAATATGCATCAAGGCCTGTAAGAATCTTGCCTATGGGGAGGAAAAGAAGAAAAAGTGCAATCCGTAAGTGTTTTGTTTTTTTAAGTTTGACTTAAGATAATTAGTTGTACTGATTCTAAAATTTATATGGAAAAGTGAAAGTCTAAGAATAATCAAGGCAACTGTAAAAAAGAACAAAAATAGAAACACTTCAGGAATTATTATAAAGATGTAGTAATCCCATCAATGTGTTATAAATGCAAGGATGGACAAGTAGGGCAGAATCGAAAGTCCAGATACAGACCTTAACATATAAAGGAACTTAGATGACCAAGGAATGTCCTAGTCTACTTCGGCTGCTATAACAGAATATCAGAGACTGGGTAGCTTATAAACAATGGGCACTTATTTCTCACAGTTCTGGAGGCTGGAAAGTCCAAGATCAAGGTGCTGGCAGATTTGGCGTCTGGTGAGGGCTCACTTTCTGGTTTATGGATGGTCGTCCTTTGTCCTCACTTGGTGGCAGGGGCAAGGCAGCTCTCTGGAGCCTCTTTTATAAGGACACTAATCCCATTCATGAAGCCTCTTCCCTTATGATCTAATCACCTCCCAAAGGCCTATCCTCCTAATACCATCACATTGGGGGTTAGATTTTAACATAGGAATTTTGGGGGGACAGAAACATTCAGTCTTTAGCAAGGGGCTATGATAAATCAATGGGGGAAAAGGTGAATTTAATAGATGGTGCTGGAAAATTTGACTCTTCATACAGAAAAAATTAAAATATTGCCTCAACAATCCATAAACAGATTGAAAATCTTTTTTCCAAATGATAGATACGTAATGGTATATCACGTTATTTTAATGTGCATTTCCCTGATTACTAACAAAGATGAGCAACTTCTTGTGTATGCATTAGGCACTTAGGTTTCCCCTTTTGTGAACTTTCTGCTCATATCTTTTGCCCATTTTTCTATTGAGTTGTTTGTCATTTTCTTGTTTATTTACAGGAGTTTTTTTAAAAAAAATTATTTTGAATAGGTTTAAAAAATTCTTCATTGGATATAAGTGCTGCGCATATCTCCTCCCAGCTGTTCCTTGTTTTCCAACTTCTCTTGCAGAGAATTTAATATGAAATTTATCAGTCTTTTCCTTTAAAATCTGTTTTTTTTCTGTCTGTAGAAGAATTCTCATGCCACCCAAAGGTTATAAATATATTTTTCTCTATTTTCTTTAATAGAATTGTTTTATTTATTTTTTAACACTTAGGTCCTTTTACATGAAAACTGGAATTGATTGTGTGTGGTTTAAGGCAGGGACTTTATTTTTGCCTTCCTTTTTTCCTACGTGGAAAAATTTTAGCATACTGTTTAATTACCAGCTAGGGAGTGATGGTAGGAAAATAAACGGATCGTTGATCTAATCAGACTCTCCTCTGCTCTGAAACTTTCAGTAGCTCCTCAGGGCCAGACAAATTAAGTGCACATTTCTATAGCACTTACAGTTATCCATCACAGGATCCCTCCTGTCTTTCTAGCCTTAGGTTCTATTATTCCTCCACCTGTACCATATGCCCCAGGGAAACTGGAATAGTGTCTGTTCCAAAAATATCTGCTGACTTTTACATTTCAAAATTTGAGGGATGCAGTTAAAGCAGTACTTAAAAAGAAGAAAGGTGGAGGCTGGCCACTTAGTTTCAGTGGCTTAGAGCGCAGTATGGTAACACCAAGGTCAAGGGTTTGGATTCCCATTAATGGCCAGCTGCCAAAATAAATAAATACATAAATAAATTAATTAATAAAAAATAAAAAGAAGAAAGGTTAAAAATGAATTCTTTAAACCTCCACCTTAAAATGCTAGGAAAAAAAGAGTAAATTTATTCTAACATTAGAATGGAAATAGTAAAGGTAAGAATAGAAATCAATGAAATAGAAAACAATAGAGAAAAAACAATGAACCCAAATGTTGGTTCTTTGAAAAGATTAGTAAAATCGATAAACCCCTACCTAAATTTATCGGGATAAAAAAAGAGAGAATATACACATGCCAACATCGGGAATGAAAGAAGAGACATTATAACAGAATTTACAGACATTAAAGAATAGTAAGAGGACATTACATAAAACTTTATACCAATAAATGTAACAACCTGGATGAAATGGATATATTTCTTAAAAGACACAAATTCCTAAAGCTGACATGAGATGAAACAGAGCCTGAATGAATAATCCTATATTTGTTAAAGAGATTGAATTAGTAATTTGGCATTACCTAGTAAAGTTGAAATGCACATACCAATACCTCCTGGAGATATGCCTGGAGAAGCTCTTGCGTATGAGTGCCATGAGCATAATGGAATGGTCGTACCAGCATTGTTTATAAGAGCAAAAACCGGGACATAAGATGAAAGTTCATCAAGAGGATCAGTGAGTCGTGGTGTGTTCATACAATGGAAAATGTATAGGAATATAAATGAATGAGCTGTAACTACATACAGCAACATAGATGAATCTCAAACACTGTACAGAATGAAAAAAAAGTTACAGAAGAATGCATACAGAATGACTCCATTTATATAACACTTCAAAAACAGGAAAAACTAAGCAATATATTGTTTAAGGAGACATGTCAAAGTGATGACACCATAAAGAAAAGCAAAGGAATGATAAATACAAAATTCAGTATAGTTAGTACCTGGTTATGGGCAGGATTATGATAGAGAAGTCATTGTAATGTTCTATTTCCTAAGCTGGGGGGCAGGTGCATGGGTGTGCATTTTATTATCATGCTTTAAACTGTATAGGTATACATTATACCTTCTGTCTTATGTGGGTGAGATTGTAAATAATCAAGAACTTAAGAGTAAATAAACAGTGAGGAACTGAAGCTGGTGAGTGCTGAGTATTTTTCCAAGAAGCTTAACTAAAAGCAAAGAAGAGGCCTGAGACTGGGGCTGCTTGTTATTTTTTGCTTAGCAAAGTTGAGCCTGTTTCTGCCTGTGGAGATAAGTCCTGGCTAGTGGAGGGGGTTCCTGCATCAGCAAGGCCACCAGAGGAGCCGTGAAGGGCCAGCTGGGGGCCAGCATGGAGGGTCCGCCTAGAACAGGACAGGACACATCTTCCTCGAAGCCTGGACTCCAGGGGCAGTGTGAGCCGGGTGAAACCATCACCTCTGTCAGGCTGGGCACGTGAAGCCCCTTCTCAGCAGTCGGGAAAAGGAGTCTTTGAGGCCCCCACAGGAGGAAGCACTTTATTATTATTTTTGGCAGGTTGGGGGTAGTGAGAGGTGGAGGTGGGGGAGGGGAAGCAGCCCATGGCCTTGACACCCGGGTAGATGAGAGAATCTCTGGTTCCATGGTCTTCCCCAAGTGGCAGGTGACGAGGGCATATAAATTCCAGGAATAGGGCGTGAGGAAGGCAGGGGGAGCCTCGCACCCCCAGGAATAGTCCAGAGGATTATGTAGCCAACGTTGGGCCAAAGACTGTGAATCAGAAGCTGCACACACACCACTAACCTTGCTCACTGTCAGTCATGGTCGCTAAGCCCTTTCTATCAACTCAAAAGCCAGTGGGGAGCAGGGTGAAGAAATGGCCGACATGTGGATTCTTCTCCTGAACTCTCTGTGCTAACCCCCAGCGCCCCGCCTTCCCCGCTGAGCTCCCACCCTGTCCTGTCTGCCTTTGGCCCCCAGGTATGTAAAGACCTACTTGCTGCCCGACAGATCCTCCCATGGAAAACGCAAGACTAGAGTCCAAAAGAACACGGTGGACCCGACCTTCCAGGAGACCTTGAAGGTACTTGTGGAGTCCTCCCACCCCAGGCTGGGCACCCAGGGCAGAGTCCACTGAGGGTTCCTTCAAACTCTCGGGTCAGTTAAATGTAAGTGTGGACGCCTATACATGGCTGCGGGACTTTGTCAATCAGTGGCAAGTGGATAGAAAATAAATTTCAGCCTTTGTACAGGAAAAGTGCAGAGTCTGCAGGACTTCAGAATGGCTTTTGATTAATGATTTCTGAGAAAACAGTGAAAAAGAACCTCGTTGCCTCTTTGTCTTGGTCTAACAGGGCACAGGGTAATTTTTAAAGTTGGTTTGTCTTGTTGAGTCTTTATGACTATCAGAGAGACGTTCTCAAGCAGGATTCTCTGAAAATTAAACAACCGAGTTACTATCTTGGTGAAAGTTCTCCTTTATTGTAATATCTGACAAACCCAGGTTTCTTCTTCTTTTATGGGGAAAAAAAAGTCATTTTATGAAAAAAATATTCATAAAGGAATTGTTTGGGTTTTCACTTTCTTTGATGCTAAGAAATGTGATTGATGGTTTAGGGCAGAGATGCGGCCTCCTGCTGATTTTGGGCGAAGAGCTGGAGCTGAGGTCTGGCGCATGCAGAGTTGGCTGTGGGGGCCCCAGGCCAGGAGGGCAGCCCGGACCTGTGAGACTGTGCCTGGGCTGGGCAGCCCAGGCACCCCATCGTCTCACGCCATGAAAGCAGACGGCTTTGTCTGCCTTCCCTGGCAGGAGGGGTGTTTGTGAACTGCAAGCCAGGGGCCATCTGGGCAGCTGGCACAGAGCCCCGGCTTCGTTAAATAATAGCCATTGTTTTCTGTGCCCCCGCTGTGACCAAGTGCTTTATATTCCCCAGGAGGAAGGTATTAGAATCCTCATTTGACAACAGGGAAACAGACTAAGAGTACTCAGCAGTACAGCTCAAAGCCTCAATGGCCTGGTGGTCCTTCTCAAAATTTATGTCCATAGAAATCCACTGGGGATTTCTTGAAAAATGCAGATTCTGATTCAGCAGCTGTGGGCGGGGCCTGAGATGCTGTTTCTCCAGCGGGATCCTGGTGCTGCTGAGGCTGGGACTGCACTGCAGAACGTCCCTGGAGACTGGTCTTCAGCTGGTTTTGCTCATGCACCTGCTACAAGAATTTGAAAAACTGTGTACCCCTTCATGCATTTTAAGTTGATATCTAAAATTATGCATCATAAGCTTAATTAAGGTGTTTTGTGCTAAACAGAGGTTTATAGAATGAGATAAAGATGAGAATTGACTATATTTTAGATAAATATTTTTTTTTTCCTTTTTGTCTTTTTTGCGTGTCCGGCAACGGATCGCAACCCTCAGTGCTGCGCCCGTACCGGACCGGGACCGGCAACGGGACCGCAACCCTCGGTGTTGCCCCCACACCTCGCTCAGCCAGTGAGCGGGAACCGGTCTGTATGTGGGATCCGAACCCTCGGCAGGAGTGCCACCGCACTCCCAAGCGGCGCACTGTAGCAGTGCGCCACCAGGCCGGCCCCATTTTAGATAAATATTTAATTGTACAGTTTGATTTTTAAAAGTTTTACCTACCTTATTTAAAATGCATATAGAATCTCAAAGAAATCACTTAAAATTTTTATTCATGGGTTTTAACAAGTATATCGTGAATGTTTTGTAGTCCTGGAGAAACTTTCCAGATACGTTTCAAAGAATCCAATGTTTCTAATGTATTCTAAATTCAGAACATCACAACACAGGTCAGCCTGATCCTTCATAGAAATACCCATAAGATGGAAGAGATGGGAAGATGGGGAAGCTGATCAACCATTTAAAAGTCTCATAGAAAACCAGTATTTCAAATCACCCCTTGGTTTGGCACCCAGGAGGTTGGTGCAACCTGGAGCAGGTCATCAGAGTGAAATTTGGGTGGGTGAGGGCTGTGAGAATGGTCTCCAGCCGGTTCTGAGAAAAATGCATGTGGAAGTTGAGGATCTATAAACAGATCCTCCAAGTTATCTGAGCAGAGTGCTCCTTGGAAAACCTTTCTGGACTCCAGGGAGACTTGTTCCCCCTTTGAGACCACTGTAATGGGGGCCTGGGGAGGATGAAATGAGACACCAGGTGTGGGGGACACTGGTCACTGCCTGCCTTTGTTCCCAGTGGAGTCTGGAGCAGTGTCAGGGTCTGCTGGGGTGGGCCTCATAGACCCAACAGGGCAATGGGAAATAGGTCTTGTTTGAAAAAGCAGATTCAATCACCGGAAGGAATAGTCCTGTTTGTCAGAAAGGGGCGACCTGATGCAAGGAGCCAGGGAGAAGCAGGCAGGCCTGGGTTTCCGAGGGAGTCAGGGGCTGCCCCGCGCACAGAGCAGATGGAGATTAGGGAGCTGCCTGGGGCAGGGCGGACGCAGGGGGTGGCCCACTGCCTGCCACCTGCCCTGTCCTGCCCGCCCTGCCCGCCCAGCCTGCTGGCTCCCAGCTTCCCCTGGAGCAGCTTCATCTCCCAGAGGGCAGCAGACAGGACAGCGAGCTGTCAGTCTGGACTTCACTGATGGGGCCTGCAACTGTGACGGGAATAACCATATTAACTCGGGGTTTGTAGGCAGAGTCTATAGAGTGAGGAATGTGGGCAGAGTGGGAAATGGGCCATGGTCTGCAGGGAAAATGGACTAAAAATCAGCCAACGGCAGTAGAAAAGGGAATGAGACTCAAGAAATTCTTTTTTTTTTTTTTCCTTTTTGTCTTTTTTCGTGACCGGCAACGGATCGCAACCCTCAGTGTCACGCCCGTACCGGACCGGGACTGGCAATGGGATCGCAACCCTCGGTGTTGCACCCGCACCTCGCTCAGCCAGTGAGCGGCCGGTCTGTACGTGGGATCCGAACCCTCGGCGGGAGCGCCGCCGCGCTCCCAAGCGGCACACTGTAGCAGTGCGCCACCGGGCTGTCCCCAGAGACTCAAGAAATTCTAATTTTAATGGCCACAAGCAACCCCAGTGGGGAAGAAAAGGAGGGAGCCGGGGAAGGCCAGCCTGGCCAGGCAGGCCCAGGACGTCAGACGTGAAGACAGAGCCGGGGAGGGCCCCAACAGAGCAGCAGGGACGGTGTGCCCTGACAAACTACTCCCTGCCTTTCCCTATTCTGCTGGGGCAGACAGGGAGGGAGGCGACAGTTCCCGGTTCCTGCTTCATTTCCATCTCGTCCCTCAGCTGGGAAGGCGGCTGCAGGTGGGCAGAGGAGAGGAACCCCGAACAGACAAACTGCATGTCTGCTTTCAGTGGGTGCAAGTGTCCAGCCTCACTGCATGACAGCTGGCCAGAGTGTCACGAGGAGTCAGGGTTCAAGCCCCAAACAAGCCCTAGAGGGGGCAGCTCAGGGCAGAAGACTGGCACAGAGCCCAGGCTGGGCACAGTCGATCTGCACCCTGGCCTGCGCTGGCGGCTTCCAGAAAGGGGATGGTCACTGAATCTGTAGGCTTCTGTTTTTCCATCTGCAAAATGTGATGAGTACTACAGATCTCACAGGATGCTTGTGAAAGCAGAAGAGCAATGTACCTAAAAAGCCTGCTACAAAAAAGGGTTCAATGACTTGTAACTTTTGTTCACTATTGAGAAAATCCAGCTAATAGGCTTACGAGGAGGCTCTCAGAGGCTGAGGTGGAGTTGGTGGCACCTTCAGGAGGACTGTGTGTCACTCACTAGGGGCCTTTGGCCTCCAGTCTCCCTGGGGGCAGGAACTCAGCCTTGGATTGGGGAAGGGGCTTCTCTGTCACTCTTGGGTGTGCTGAGAGCACCTAGCAGGGACAGGGACAGAAGCATCATGTTGGGTGCTGGAGTCCGACACAGGCCTGGCCACATGTGTTGTCCATCAAGGGCAAGCACACCAGGGGAAAGCTCAGGCTTTGCATTTTGAACAAATAAAAAATACTTGTTTCCAATATTTTGGGACAACCACAGCTGGGTACAGTGATAGCCAGATGCAAGTTCAGATGCTGCACTGGCACATATCTTGGCTTGGTTTCCAGGAGCCTCGGGCTGGTCAAGGATCTCATCCCTGTGTTGATCTTAGAAACGGGGGAGGGGACTCAGTGGCTGCCAGGGCTTTCTTAGCCTGTCCCCAGGCAGAGCACTGGGCACTTGGGGTGGGGGAGTGGGGGGAATTCTTCAGAAGAGAGAGACACCTCCCCTTGCACCATACTGCAAGCAGCTTGGCCCACCCTGACCATACCAGGACCCTGGCTGCAGTGGAGTCTGGGGATCAGCCTGTGGGAGGGAGGTATGTGTAGGTCTGGGGAGGTGGGGGCCTGGGAAGTGGGGGCCCAGGAGCTGGCTGACCATCTCTGCTCTGTCTCTGCAGTACCAGGTGGACCTTGCCCAGCTGGTGACCCGGCGGCTGCAGGTCTCTGTGTGGCACCTGGGCATGCTCACCCGTAGGGTGTTTCTTGGAGAAGTGATCATTCCTCTGGCCACGTGGGACTTTGAAGACAGCACAACACGGTCTTTCCGCTGGTATCCGCTCTGGGCCAAGGTGATGTCTGGTTTGGAACTGAGTGTTCCCCACCCCCACCATGAGAACTCACTCACTTTCCAGATCCCAGAAGAGATAACCTACCTGGGAAGGCTTGCAGCCGGGACATAGTGCGGGTTCGCCGGGCCCATTAGCTGTGACTTTAAATAGACACTTCGTAGGCAAGAAAGAGCTCAGCGTCAGCCCTTCCTGGGTGGAGTTAGGCTGAGGTTGTTCTAACCTGCTCAGGGTTGTGCACGTACCCGAACAGCCCTACCCACCGCGCGGCACACAAGCCAGACTGGCTCAGGGCAGCGGGTTCCCCCAGCCCTGCATCACTCAGTGTCAGCCGAGGAGGCCCTGCTTCCCCTGGCCGGCCCTGCTGTGAGGCAGCAGCAGGACAGAGCTGGGCCAGATGAGCTGGGAGAGGTGAGGCTGCCACCCGTGATCCAGGGTCTGCGTCCCCCAGGCCGTGCAGGGAAGAGGGCGGTGGGGCAGATGGCAGCGCTTCTCAGAGTTGCTGCTTTGCACATTTCTGTACCAAGACCCAAGCCTGGGAGATGGTGCGTGTGAGGCCGTGAGGCAGGAGACAACATGGGCTCGTCTTCTCTTTAAGAAACAGCAGCAGGATGTCCCCACCTGTGAGCTGAGGCCACGCAGCACAGTGGGCTGAATCTTCTGCACCAGCCCGGAGGCAGGGCACGAGTGCCCTCTGGCCTCTCTTTTCCTCTCGGAAGCCAGGGCAGCCAGGATCCACGATGCCTGTGCTGGGAAACGTCTCCATAGGGTGAAGCCGAGGGTCCCCAGCCTGGACGCTGCCCGTCCCACCTGCCTGCCACCGTCCTCTCTGCTGAGGAGGGCAGTGCGGCTCCACCATCGCCTTAGACCCTTCTCAGCCTCCACGTGCCAGTAGCCACATGGAACATTTCCCTATCCGGGGTCTGCCAAGACTTCACCTAAGTCCCATCTCCTGCACCGAGCCTTCCCTGACTTTCCCTGCTGGAAGTGAGCTCCCCCTTAGCCCCGGGAGATCAGGGCGCCCTGCCCATCTCCCGGACCTCTTCTGCAGCCGTGGTCCCTCTTGCTTCTGCCCCTGCCACACTGAAGGACAGCCGAGCTCTCTGGTTTCTGTGCCTTCTTCACACTCCCGCCTCAGTCTCCCAGCTCTGTTGTCACTCAGACGAGCATCACCTCCTCCAGGATGCCCTCTCTGACTCCCTGGCATGGGCTCACCCCATCAGAGGATGGATCCCCTACGTGCTTTGCCTCTCCTGGCTTGAAGACAGAGCCTGGAACATCTCTGTCGCCAGCACCTGCCACAGGGCTTGGCATAAGATAGGCCACGACCCCCCCACCCCACCCCCACGCCTGGTGCTAGATCAGGAATTCTCTGACAAGGGTTGGTGCTCGGTTTCTGGAAGCCAAAACCAACAAGGCAGCTTTACCTCATTTGGCACCCAAGGGCCAAGAAGGGAGGCTTTGGTGTAGAAGGAGCTGGCCCGTGCAGGCTCCCAGGGGCGCTGGGCCCTCCACGGTTAATGGGGAGGGAGCTTCTCTGCTGCTGGGATCAGCTGCTGCATGGTGGACTGAATGGATCTAGACACTTCCCAGTACACTTCTGCCCCACTGGGTGCAAAGACTGATTGGATTCAGGATCATCTCCTCTCTGGGTCCTTCCTTCACTCACTTTCTGGCAAAATCACGCATGACCAGAGAAACCACCTCAGTGGCATGGAGGTGTCTTCCATGGGCATTTGGGCAAAGGGGGGCCAGACTTACCACAGCCTAGAGAGCCACCCCCTGTGGCTTTGGGCACAGAGTCTGTGATTCCCTTCAGTCTCCAATGCCTGCGGCAGTCCTTGGCATGGAGGGGTAGCTCGAATCTTTACTGGCCTGAATGGAGTTGATGGGCGGGCCTGACTTATTTTTTTCCAAACTCGGGTTGTGTTCAGGTTTCTTAGGATTATTCTGTGCGAATGGCCAGTGCCCTCTATGCCCCTCTGTTTCCTCAGGCCCATCTACCTCTGGCTTGCTAGGGTGGCCAAGCTCTCTGTCCCCATGATGGTGGTGGTGAGGGTAGGAGTGAAGAGTTGCTGCAGGTGGAGGACGACCAGGCCTACCATGGAAAGGCCCACTCCCTCCCAGGGCTCTCCCAGGCCTGAAGGGTTTTGCAGGGGTGGGGGAGCATTTATGGACAGAGCCAAGACAACCAGAGAAGCCGGGAGGTTCTGGGAGGCTGGGGAATCCTGCCTTTGAGCTCTGCCTCTTGCCCCCAGGCAGAGAAATACGAAGACATTGACAGCGTTGCTCAGAATAATGGAGAACTTGCAGTCCGGGCCAAACTGGTCCTCCCTGCAGGGCCCAGAAAACTCCAGGAGGCTCAAGAAGGTAGGTGACCTCCAGCCCCCTGTACATGTCTGTGTCATTGTCCCCAAAGCCTGGAGCAGCAGGCAGGCTGAGAGGCAGGGCCAAACGTTTTCTAGCATTCCCTTCCTCCTGCCCACTGAATCCCAACACGCTCCCGCCTGGGAAGGGTTCTCTGGAACCCGTAGCCTGAGAGAGAAAGAGTGACCAGGAGCAGTCAGGGCCTTCGATGCCCACCTTACACCTCTGTAAGGACACTGGCCCTTCGGCCTTCATCTCAAGGGGTGGGTTGGACAGTCTCTCCGCTGAAACCGTAGTCCCTCTTGAAGAGGAGATGCTCCATGGCATCGTGCATTATGGATCGGGACTTTGGCTCTGTAGGAAGCAAGAGCCCATCGCAGGGCGCTGGATAGATCCCCCTGCTCCTGGGTCACGTGAGCAGCTGCTGCCCAGCCAGGGAAGTGGATCAAGACAGGTCCTCGAGGACCTTATGGAGATTTACCTTAAACAACATGGAGTGTATGGATCCTGGGAGGGTGGGGAAGGAAGACAGGGGAAAGCGCATGGCCACTGACGGTGTGGTTAGTGACTTCCTATTTGCTGAAAGAGGAAATTCTGCTTTCCAAGCTCACAGGGCCACCAGCAGACCCGCAGTAAGCACCCTAAGGTCATCCCAACCCCCCTAGGATGGGGTCTGGCAGCTCCTACTTTCCCAAGAACCACTGGCTACAACTAGACTAAATCTCCGGCATCTTTTCTCCCCTTGGGTTCCTGTTTACTTTTTGCAGCTTCTGCCTTCCCAGGATTTTAGCAATCTGTCCGTCCTGTTGTCATGTGGGACATTCAGCTGTATGGCATGTGGGAAGGGCCAGAGGAGCCTTCTTCTGTTGGACGCGCTCTTGGGGTCTAAAGGCTGCAACACTCTCAGCTATCAGTTTGTGGGGTGGTGGTGGTGGTGGCGCTGCATGCTAACCTACTGGGAGAAATGGCTTGACAGTAAACACTGTCTTTCCTTGCAGGGATAGGAGCTGAGCCATCACCTAATGGTCAACTCTGTTTGGTAGTGCTGGGAGCCAAGAATTTACCTGTGCGGTCAGATGGCACCTTAAACTCATTTGTTAAGGGGTAGGTATTGGATGCAATCAAATATTATTTATTGACAACCCAGGACACACATGGCATGGTTCTAGAACCTGTAGGGAACAAAAAACGTAAGCCACTTAGTCTTATTTTAACTTTCCTATGAAAATCCCCACATAGCATATTAAAGACACCGATTTCCAAGAACTCATGGGAATTGGACATGCTGAGGCTAGATTTGGAATACATTTTAATCTGAAACTCAAATCTTATCAGCTCTTGCTTTATCAGCAAATTGGTGTTGAAATCGAGCATAAATAGTATTGTGCTCAGTAAACATTTCCTTAGCTTAACATCTCCTCTTGGACTAACAGGAAGATGGATGACTCTCCACATTTCGTTCTTATGTACTCCAGGTGTGTTGGTATCTCCAAAAGCAAAGCAAACACCATTAATTATGATACTGAATTGCTAAATCCCCAGTCATATAATGGAAAACGATGGCCTACGAGCTCAAGGTGGAACTGTGTCCTAATCCTGTTGCTTATCTGTACACCTTGGGCAAGTTCCTTAGCCTTTCTGAATTTATGTTCCTGAGAACAGGGGTAAAAGGAGAGAGCATATTTCTAGCATTTTGGTCCCTGGGCAGTTCCAATGGGCCATGCTTTGGATGACTGTAGGCACACCAGGAATTAAGACGAGGGCCTCAGAATCCCAGCTTACCCTTAGCACCCAATGCAGAGCTCAGTTCTAAGAGAAGCAACCAAGTGGTGTGGTTCCCTTTCTAGTTCATTGCTTAGAATGTTTATCTGGTAGTGGATTTAGCACTTTTCTTAGTGCTTCCAGCCTGCACTTGTGCACACGCAAGAACAAGACACAGAGGCTCTGCGGAGAGCAGTTGTTACAGGGTTTGTATCTATGTTCCTTTCCCAGCTGTCTCACTCTGCCAGACCAACAAAAACTGAGATTGAAGTCCCCAGTCCTGAAGAGGCAAGCGTGTCCCCAGTGGAAACACTCCTTTGTATTCAGTGGTGTAACCACATCTCAGCTGAGGCAATCGAGCTTAGAGCTAACTGTCTGGGACCAGGCTGTCTTTGGCATGAATGACCGCTTGCTGGGGGGAGCCAGACTTGGTTCAAGTAAGTCTGTTTAAGATACTTGTTGGGCCCAAACACCCTTATCCATAGTGATTGTCTTACATGGATACCATGAAAAGAAAATGCTTCCACAGGGCAGCAATTTAACTGGCTTTGAAATTGCCTAACCGCCATAAATGGAAATTCCTAAATCTAGTTCTTACTGCGCAACTGAGCAATAATACAGCAAAGTATTTCGACAATTTAAATCAGATTTAGATCTGCTAAAGAAACAAAATTACAGGCCTCAAAATGGGTGAGGTACAGGATTTGCTTCTGTTTTCAGCATCAATCATAAAAGGATTATTTTCTTAAAGGAAAATATCTTCTTAACCTAAACAAATGGCAATTCAGAAAGTACTTCAGAGTGGGACAGAACAGCAAGCTATTCAGTGCTCCCCAGCAGGGGTTCTGCTAGCACTGTGTGGGGCAGCTCTTTGCTGGGGAGGGCTCCTGCACACTGACCCCTGCCTGCTAGTCTCCAGCAGTGCCCCCAAACATGGTGGCAGAGCACCTGCACACATCTCCATGCACCTCCCACCAAGAACCACTGAAGGCAAATAACTGTTAAATTACAACTTTTCTTTTTTTTTTTTTTCCTTTTTGTCTTTTTTCGTGACCGGCAACGGGATCGCAACCCTCGGTGTCGCGCCCGTACCGCACTCAACCAGTGAGCGGACCGGTCTCCATATGGGATCCGAACCCTCGGCGGGAGCGCCTCCGCGCTCTCAAGCGCCGCACTCTACTGAGTGCGCCACTGGGCCGGCCCTAAATTACAACTTTTCAAGAGGACATTGTCCAAAGCACACCTCATCTTCTAGAACTCTTTTCCACGAACACACCAGCCCCCAGCCTAGCATGGCTGCCACCCACGCTCAGCCAGTCCTCTTGGTGAAGCACCAGCCTACCAAACCTCACTTTGCAGGAAAGGGAGGAGGCTGCAGGCTTGCAGGACCCCCCAGCACTGGAGGATGCCCGAGCACAGCTGCGTCTCAGCAGCAGTTTTGGGGTGTGTGAGGGGGTGGTGGGGAGGTGTCTCTCACTCATCAATGGTTGGCATTTTAACATGGTCTCCAGGTGAGGTGAAATTTTCTTGCTGGTTCTCATTTTTAAAAAGCTGAGGGAAGGGCTGGGGAAGAATCCACACCCACTATCACTAATCTGTCTCACTCACATTACAGAGGGAGAGACGGTTGGCAGCACAGACTCATGCTCACAATCAAACCTCCAGTGGCAGAAAGTTCTTTCCAGCCCCAATTTGTGGATAGACATGACACTCACGCTGCACTGAGAAGGCTCCAGGTTGCAATGGGTGTGTCGAAGCACTGTACACCTGCCGAGGCTGAAGGTTGGCCAAGAAGCAGGTGTGGGGTCACAGCTAGAAAACACCCCTGGGACAGGAGCAATCTCCGTCATTGTGTCATGTGGCTGGAACATCCCTGAACTTCTTTGTGTATATTTAAGTTAAACAGAGCAATTATTGTTACATAAATTAAGTCAGGTAGGTTACCTGTTCTGAGAGTTGTGGAAAGTGGCCAGATTTCAATAAATATTCAAGTTACCCGTGTTGCCCAGTGCTTATTGGATAGTGCAAGTTACACTTTGTTACATGCATTTCAAAGAGGAAAAAGGAGCCCTTCTCTTCCTCTGGGAAAAACTATTTCCAGAGCAGGTGAGCCAAGCCCTGGAGTGCTGGAGAGGCTCCTGGTCTTGGGCTGGTGAGCTCTAATGGTCCCAAGGGCCCCTTTCTGAGCTCTCTCACCCCAACCCGCAAGGAGACACCCACTGCTGCGTCTCGCCTGGCAGAGCTTTTATTTCACATCTGCGGGTGGAACTCATCCGCACGTGATGGCGCAACTGAAAAGGACCGACATGAATGAGCAGAACCAATGGCCGATGCAAGCTGACATTTTAACAGCTAGTCAGTAGAGACTGGAAATAGGTCAGGACAAAGTTCTTCTTGTGGGAACACAGAGGTGATAAACAGGTCGAAAAGAGTCCCTTCATGGCTGGAGTCTGAATGGTCATAACAGTGTGTGTATTTTTCAAAAAGAAGCTTTGACAGAAAATTGAAGTGTGCATAGTCAATTACACGCACAAAGAACACTAAAAGTAAAAAAATCATTTTTACAGATGAGATTACAGCAGTTAATCACTTCATTCCTGCTCTCACCTCACATCAGATCAAGTGCTGTGGTTACATGGTTTTTAAAGGTAATTCTTTTATTATTCTGTAAAAGGTAACAAAATATACAGAACAAAACTTTCCCTTTTTAGAACTAATGTTACAAACCCATATTATCACTTACATATAAATACTATACTCTATAGCTGATCTTTAATTAGGTGTATAAGTCCAACAATGTATTCTACTAATTGTTAAGCAAAAAACCAAACAAAACAAAACCAAAAACATAAAAAGTTTATCCAAGCGTGTCTTCCTAGGCTGTTCATTCTGAATGACCACCGCAGATTTCTGCCAGCTGAACTGAATGACTGCAGGAAGGAAATCATTGTGAGAGAGTGCTTTAGACTCAATTTTCAAAATAATTTTCACCCCTCAAAACACAAATATACAGAGATGGATCCTTCATAGAAATCAAGAACAAATCAACCAATTTGAGCTCATTTTAAATACAGAAAAAGTATGGCACAGATGTAAGCCACGGTGTGGTTTTCTTTAATGGTACTGAATCTTGTATCACACAGGCCAGCATAAAGTTTGTTACTGAGACTTTACAGGTATCTCTCCTTAATTCAATCAGTCCTGCTGTAAGCACAAAACAGGAAGTGATTCAATAATCAGCATAAAAATCAGACCTGTTTGGCACTAAGGTACAGCTGGGAAAAATAAACCAGGGAGGTTTCCACTGGTTCCCAGCCCAGAATATTTCTGCCGGGACAACTGCTCTCTTTTTAAAGGACCTGGGACATGCTGAGGGGGTGCTAGGTTTAGCGTACTGCAGAAACAGCTGAGCCTCGGCAGAGCCTCAGTGCTGGCCGGGCCTCTACATGGCCTCGAACTCGTCGATGCGCTGCTTGGTGTTGCCCTGACGGATCTGCCGCAGCGTCTTGTACTTGTCCCGGCCTTGCCTCATGTTCTCGTTGTGGATGATGTCGTTGTGGGTCCTCTTATTCTCATCTCTGGCCTGGGACAGCTCCTTGCTCAGCATCTGCAAAACGAAGCAGCATCAGTCAGGTCCTCGTCCTCCTGCACACGTCAGTGACCTCATGGCGTCGTGGCTGGGAAATGCAGGACCCCCCCCCTCCCTCCCCGAGGAAAAGTGGGAAAGGCAGGAGAGGGTGCTGGTGGGGACGACTGCTGCGGATGAAAGCCAAGCGAGGCCCCTGGAGAGTTGCGGTGCCCTTCGTGCCCCGCCCTGGCTCACCAGCAGCTGCCGCTGCACACGCTCGTTCTTCTCGGCCTCGGTGATACGCTTCTCCTCGTTGCGGTCACCCAGGATGCCCTCGCTCGACAGCTCGGCGCTGTAGCCCATGGACTCGGCGCCCTCGTCGTGCAGGCCCTCGTGGACATGGTAACTCACTGGCTCGTACATGGGGGGCGGTGGCGGAGGGGGCGCTGTCATCACCAGGTGGAGCTCCTCCTTGGTCTTCACCAGGTCGTCCTGGGCTTCTTTGGCCTTTTAAAAGCAAATTAATAGACGGGTGAGAACTTCCTACCCAGACCCTTGCGTTTGGACCACATTCTTTAAGAAGGGGGCCCACTCTCCTTGCAAAGAGAAGAGGGGCTGTGTCCTCCTCCTCCCGCAGGCGGAGGCAGCACTGACCCCAGCTGCACACTGCTCATCAGAATCACCCCCCGGGCAGGTCTGGGGCTTGTGAGCCTCTGCAGAGTTATAGTTATGTCCACGGCATAAAGGGAGAAACTGATGCCAGAGGCTGAGCATTTTTAAAGTATCCTTTCTTATCCTCTATATGCTGTGAACGTTTTTGGAAAAAATAAAATTAGTTAAGAAGTAAACCCTGCAGCCACGAGCAGCATTTTGGCATGCAGTCTCACGCTATCCTTGTGCGGCCGCTATTTCTCCAACACTTCCGTGCCCATCACCTCAAATCCTTCCAACAGCTTCCTGCTGCACACACCCGATCCCACCCACCTCCTTCCCAGCCCTGCAGATGAGCTCGGTGTGTCTGCTTGGTAACCAGCCTTTCTCGCCTAACACTTCACAGTGAGTACCTTCTCTAAAGCCCTGAGAGCTGCAGTCTTCTGCCTGTAACTTGGGTTGGCAGTGGAAAGAGCAGGGGGAGGCAGCAGGCCAGAGGTGGCCATGTCCCCAGAAAGGGACCAACCCAGGTGCGGAAGCCTCAGGAGAAAGGACAGGCGTGCAGGATTCTGAGCTGGGGATGCGAGTCACACTCAAACCTTCTCAGGGACTGTTTCCTGGAGGCACATGGGAACCACAGATGCACACAAGCTCTGCATGGTTCTCACCATCACTGCAACAATGTATGAAAGCTCTGAGCTGGGTCCTGGTACAAGGTGGGCACTGCCCCCACTGTGCAGTAAGGAAAGTGAGGCTCCTCACCCCTGGGGTCTCGGAGCTGATGAGTGGCACAGCCTAGGCTCTCACCCCAGCCTGGAGACCCCTAGGGTCCCGCATCTTTCCATGGGGCCCCTCTGTATATGCCACCTGTCAGGAGGTCCTATTTTAGGCACTGCAACTCCATTGCAGGTAGCACCCACATAATCGGATTTAAAACTAGTTCCTGATCGGGGGCTGTCTGATTATGGCTGAACCGTTCAGGGTGGTGGGAGCAAAGTGGGTGGAAATGAATAGGCTACTCTTTGTTCCTCTGCTAATCCAGCAGCTGTACTCAAAGTCAAGCACATTCCTGTGGGGATTTCAGTTTCATAGTACGGTTGGTAGTGGCAAGGGGCTGTGAAACATCCCAGAAGTTTCAGGAGGGCCTGCCTGCCGGGCCAGACCCCGCCTGCCAGCCCAACTCCAAGAAGGGCCCCGTGGCAGGCCCGGTGCCAGTGGCTGTGTGGGAGCGGGGCAGCCGCGGGGGTCCCGCTACGCAGACTCACCCTGTGCTGCCACTCTTCAACCTCGTTCTCCTTGCGCCGCCTCGCCTCTTCCAGGAGGGCGATCTTGGCGGTGTACTCTGCAAGCTCTGCAGCCTGGGAGGGAACGCGGAGCTACAGTGAGTGCTAGAATGCTCTCAACAGAGCCCATTTGTGAGCAACCGTGCACCTGTGTTCGTAAAGGGCCTCCATGGGGACACCCCCTGTGCCTCCCACTCTCCTTGCAGCCAACAGGGTCCATCTGTGCCTCCCGTGTCTCTGTGGGACAGGGTACCCGGGTCCACCTCCCTGGCTGGCAGCTCAGACAACAGCACAGCACCCTCCCCACCAGGCGCTTCACACCCTCTGGCAGATCGGCTTACAGCCCCCAGATGAGAATTACTACAAGGCAGGTGTCACTTTTTCAGTCCCCAGAAGCAGAAGCAGCCTCTCTATAATTCAGCATCCTGAAACTCGGGCACTTCCTACCAGCTGCTCCTGGCTCTTTATCTGATCCACCGTCTGCCGTTCCAGCTCCTCCTTGGCCCGCAGTGCGGCCACGCGCTCTGCCTCCAGCCGCTCGGCCTCCTCCTGCGCGTGCCTGCGCTCCTCCTCCAGCCGCAGGGCTCTCTGAACCTGGTCGGAGAGTTCTGCGGGAAAACACCAAGCCAGAGCTGCTCAAGCCCTCAGGCTGGGGCTCTGGAGTCCCACCTTCCATTCCCACCCAAGGGGGAACTGATTGAGGTCACAAAGCGCTAGCCCAAGGAGTTACAGGCTGGTGGGACGTCCTCCTCCTCCTGGGCCTCCATGACAACTTCCTCCAGATGGGCAGGAGCACCATGCAAAGCGGCCACGTCCCTCTCCCCAGAGGGCCTGAGCCTCACACTCCCAGCACTACACTCCTCAGAACTGCCGCTGCTGTGCAGGCATCACTGCCGTCCCCATGCCACCTTGGCACCCCGCTTAGGACACAGCAGTGCCCTGCCAGTGTCTGTAAAGGATGCCAATGAACACAGCCATCTGCCGCCTGGACTGAAAGCCCCTCGAGGGCCAGGACTCGCATGTAACACAATCGACGTGCAGAGAAGACGAGTGTGGATGTGCCGAGGCCCCTGGCTTGCCATCTAGAGGCCAGGGCCAAGGAGCACGGCTCTGCACTCACCAGTGTGCCCGTGGGCACATACTCTGTCTCTTAAACCTTAACACCCTCATCCGGAAGATGGGCAATTCAGTACCTGCCCCAAAGAGGTGTGGGGAAAGTACAAAAGAAAATGTACATAAAACAATGAACAGAAATTAATAAGGTACAGAACTGTTTTCTAGTCCAAATAACTGTTTCATCATTTCTCTGTTACAAGTTTATA